GGCGGTGTCCATGCGTGGGTTCGAATCCCACCGAGGCTACTGAACTTTTCACAATCGACATAGAAGCTTAGGAATTGTTTGGAGGATACAATCCAACAATGCATGCATGTAGGGGCGGTCAGAGTTGATGTCAGCCTACCGGTAGATCCACCAATCATCAGTCTATTGTTCCAACGGTATAAAATTAGGGGTATGACATTTGTCTTTGTAATGAGTTTTGTGTGTATAAGTATATGACCTGGGTGTCACCAGCAGCAAATGAACAGGAGACAGAATCCAACACTTCGACTTCTCTTAAGTGATTGAGTCACATAGATAGAAGTATCTCCGCAATGCATTTGTGTCACCTTATCATTTCGGTTTGTACTAACAAGCTACACTTTCGGTAAAGAAACTATCATCAAACGGACAATCTAAACTGAGGCCCCATTCTTGTATAAGTTAAAGAGATGGATGAGAGATCAATAAAATCGGGCAAATTGTCCGATTGGTTTGGTCAAAGCTGTAGGCCAGTATAATAACTACGGTCCAGACACAACTATCGGAATAGGTGGGTGGTCGATTGGTTGTGAAGCACGCAACGCAAACCAAAATCGACCACCTGTCATGATGTTCTCCTCGTTGTTTGCGATTCGATTGAATAGTTTACGCCAACTGAAAATCGGAAATCCTCTTCCTCGGCACAACAATAGCAAGTGGGTAGGGAGACATGGGAAACCAAAAAGTGATTTGCACCTGATATTGTGTTCCGTGACATTCTTTGTCGGAGTTATATCAAAAGAAGTACTAGAAAGTACATATATGTGCATGCATACACACACGTCAAATCCACGTTCTACTACGAACCAAATAACAATTTATAACGAAATAGGGTTTTCGTTCTATTGCGGTGTAAACAGTATATTGTACTCTCAATTGTACAATCCGATCCTTATGTATTCCTCTAACCACAATCCGAGTTAGGGGGGTGCATAGGTTATGACTATCGATCAGTGGAACAATGTGAACGTTTTATTGTGTATTTGTGTGTCTGTGTAAATTTATCAGTCGACATCAATTGATCAGTGATGTACTACCGTCAATTTTTATGTATACGGGGACTTGGGCGGTTGGTCTATTCCCTGGTGGTTGTTGAAAACAAAAAAGAACTCGATTTTGATTTTGAAAGGACATACTGAATCAATTTTCAGTTTCCGTTGTCATAAACAGAAGTAAAGAGAACTCATCACTAAAGCTTGTTCTTGGTTAAAGCTTATGTATATAGAAACTAGTAGGATGCAGATGTAGTTTCATTATGAAAATGCAGAAGGGGAAAGTGGACAAGCACTGCGCAGCTGGTCAAATTTCACAGGATCTGCTTATTTGTGCAAATCTGTAGAAATCACTGTAAACCGACAACCATTCAGTGCTCTCCGGGGTTGCACTTGATATTTCGATTCCGTAAACAGATCGAGATTCATTCAGAACTTCATATAAGCTGAACGTAAGGCGGGCACTAACGTCTAAGTCGACACTGTGTGCCAAACAAATCACGGCACAATATAATTTGTAACAGAGAAAAAGGTCTATGGTTTACAAGTTCACAGAATACTGACACGTTGCTCAGGCAGGTGGGATTCATAACCTAATCGGCTGACTGGTCAAAGTTTGACCCCCAAGGCCACAATGTATTGAATGAAGGAGAATGTCCAGTTGATCAGATCGTACGCCCTTTGGACGAGATCGAAAGTCCTTTATGCCCAATACACCTTGATGGACAGTAACATGTCACGTTTCCCATGTATTAAAAAATGTACTTTATTGATGTTACTGTTTGACGAGGTCCACAGCAATCGTTCAGACTTGGATTATTGCTCAAATAAGATGGATGTAAACTGAACAATAGACAAGCTGTCCACCACAAAAGCTGAGTGTCAATGGCAATGGGTTTTCGTGTCAGAAGTACGGTAATGGCAATGTCTTGATCTGTTTAATCTCCCTCTCTGCATACCGAATTCCCAATATTCTTTGAATTTTTGTCAAGTAATGAGGGATGTAACATTTAGGAATTCAAGTAGAGAATATATTTTGCTGTCCCTTATTCTTTTCCTAATCAAAATGTTTCTTTTATTGAGCATACAAAAAGTGCGTGCTGAACATGTCTATTGTTGCGGGGGCTGATTATGCCCCATGTCAGACCCTAAAAGTTGACTACACTGGGTTAAATTCCATCTGTTTTTAGCACTCACTTACATAGCTTTATTGGTGTGATTCTTTTATTACTTATTTCTCAGAAATAATATTAATTCAATAGCAATGCAAGCAATGTAATTCATCCCGATGTTCGTGTGCAGTTCCATGTCGCCCACTAAAACACTGTCCCCCACTCACCCACACACACACGACGCTCCTTTTCCAACCCACTCCTCTTTAGTTCCGATCCCTGTCACATTCCTGCCGAACTACCTACGAAAATGCTGTACGCCAATCGCAA